CAGAAGAACCTTTATTTTGTGAAGCAGAAGAAGGGCAATCAGTGAAACGGAAGCAGGAAAGCAGTCCTCCCCAGCTCTCCCAAAGTCCAGCGCTCACGCAGCCACCTCCCCTGTGTGGCCAGGCCCAACCCCGCGCCGCCCCCCCGCCGTGCAAGTGAGGTTGTTCAGTGATTCTAGTCCTGGGTGTGGATGTTGGGAGCTTCGTGGCCTAGGGTAGCAGTGATGGAGATTACTGTGTTCTGTGCTGTCCAGAACGGCAGCCACCAATTCATGTGACCATTGAGCGCTTGAACTGTGAGCAGTGCATCTAAGGAACCGATTTTTTTTTTAAGATTTTATTTATTTATTTTTAGAGAGGGAAGGGAGGGAGATAGAGAGAGAGAGAAACATCAATGTGCGGTTGCTGGGGGTTATGGCCTGCAACCCAGGTGTGTACCCTGGCTGGGAATCGAACCTGCGACACTTTGGTTCCCAGCCCGCGCTCAATCCACTGAGCTACGCCAGCCAAGGCTGGAACCGAATTTTTAATTAAGTTAAATTAATCAAATTTGAACAGCCACTATGGCTAGAGGCTACTGTTAGGTAGCCAAGGTGGCAAATAGGTCCAGTTAAGGGCTTTTATTCGAGGAGGGACGAGGCTGATCGGGCGGGCTGGGTCCCAACAGACTGTAGTAGCAAGGGAAAGGACGGAAGGTTTTTAAGGGTGTGTAGCAGACCCCTGGGGGAGGGTTGGTGACCCTGCTGATCTGCCCCAGGTGTCCTGGGCACAGGCGTTTGCAAGACAATGTCCTGTGCTCAGAGATGGCTGATTGGGGACAGAAAGTCCTGGAGATTTATGGGCCTTGCCTCTGGGAAAAAGCTTGAGGGAGAGGGGATGGGAAGTGGGGGTTCAGCTGGTGGCTGTGTCTCAGTTGCTTCTGATAATAGGGAATCTCAAGGTCGGGTGTTTAGCTGGTAAAACTCTCTTTGTTCCTGCATAGGCTGTGGCTTAGATCCTTCAAGTCCCAGTACATTCCAGCAGCTACCATATTGGACGGCGCAGAGCTAGGGAATCTCAGCAATGTCCTGGCTTGGGTTTTGCACTTGACCAATGGACTGGACTGTTGGGTTTTCTCTTAAGAGGGAGAAGAGGTGGGACTCTGGGCCTTTCTCTTCTGAAGATAGGTCAAAGTATCCCTCATCCCTAGCCTTCATCCCAACCCCATTATAGAGGACCCAAAGGAAAATATTGAGACATCTGAGAGCAAAATCTTAAAGCGATGTGAAGAATTCCTAGGGCTGAAAGGCAGCGCAGATGGCAGTCCAGACCCACCCTTCTGACCCTGTGCCCTGCACCACTCCCTGCACCCGTTTCCCTGGGTGTAAACGGACCCTTTTGTCCTGGCTACCAGCCTTGGAGGGAAACCACCCAAGAAGGAGACACTGGGCAGGATTTATTGTTCAAGGAGAGACAAGCAAACTGAACCTGCGGTTCCGGACAGAAGCAGTGCGGGCTGTTCTGGGTCTGAGAATGGTAAAGAGAGAACAGAGTTGCTTCCACATGGGGTAGTTATGAGGATGAAACTCAGAGATGAGGGTGGCTGTGATGGTTAATTACATGTGTCAACTTGATGGACTAAGAGATGCCCAAGGAGCTGGTGAAACATTATTTCTGTGTGTGTTTGTGAGAGTGGTTCTGGAAGAGATTAGCACTTGAATCAGTAGCGTTGACATCACCCTCACCAATGCAGTGGGCCTCATCTAATCCTTGGAGGGTCCAGCTAGAACGAAAGGTGGAGGAAGGGTACATTTACTCTCTGTGTGAGCTGGGACATTCATCTTCTGTCCAAGGACCCTGGCACCCCTGGCTCTTGAGCCTCGGGCCCTCGGAACCAAACTTAGGCCGTTGTCTCCCCTGGTTCTCAGGTTTGGCTAGAACGGTGCCACCAGCTTTCCTGGGCCTCCAGTTTGAAGACAGCAAATCATGGGACTGACCTTTCAGCCTCCAGAGTTGTATGATGAATCTCCCTATATATCTGTATATAACCTATTGGTTCTGTTCCTTCTCCAGCCTGGCCTGTTTCTCTGCAGAATCCTAACTACTAGAGTGGCTCTTCTGTTAAATTCTCTGAGGAAGGACGGAAGGGGGAAAAAAGAAAGGCAAGAAAGGATTGCCACAGTAAGTTTGCTGGAGACAGGTGGTCTATGTGGGCAAAGAGTCTTTGCAGCTGTGTCATCAGACCCCTCCAGGTGCAGAAAGGTTGCACACCTGGTCGCACTGGGTCCTGTGCTCGTTGGGCTTCAGCTCCACTATCACTCTTCATGAAATTATTTTTTTTTTAAAGAATTTATTTATTTATTTTTAGAGAGGGAAGGGAGGAGGAGAGAGAGAGAGAGAGAGAGAGAGAAACATCAATGTGCAGTTGCTGAGGGTTATGGCCTGCAACCCAGGCATGTACCCTGACTGGGAATCGAACCTGCGACACTTTGGTTCCCAGTCCGCACTCAGTCCACTGAGCTACGCCAGCCAGGGCTAAAATTCTTAATAATTCTTGAACAAAGGTCCTATATCTTCATTTTGTACTGAGTCTCAACAGGGTTTTGGTAGACACTCTTGATTAAGCTAGTCCCATTTTATTCCTAGTTTCCTTTTTTAAAAAATGAATTCATTGTGGTAACACTGGTTCATAAGATTATACAGGAGTTTCAGGTGTACAGTTCTATAATACACCATGTGAATATTGTACAGTGTGTTCACCACCCCAAGTCTAGTCCTAGTTTGCTTTGATGTATAGATATATGTTTTTCTAATAGCATAGGTGGGTATTGAGAGCATCATGAATTTTCCCTTTTCATCAGTTAATGTTGTTAAAAGACAAAATTCAACTGAGTAAATTTTAAGGTCTAATTGGGTTTGTTAAGTGATGCGTGAATCAAAAACATACCCTCTAGCAACTAACTAGAAGGGTGCTCCCAAGGGGTGTACAAAATAGAAGGTTTTTATAGGCAGAAAGAAGGCAGGACGACGAAGTTGAGAGTGGATTGTTCCAGGCAGGGACACCTTCCTTAGGGGGAGGCAGAGGGTCTTGACAGGCAGATTACCTCAGTGATGTGGATCAGGAAATTCCAGACTGATTCGTTTAAAATTCCACTTTGGGGCCCTGGCCCAAAATTAAACAATTGGTTAGAGCATGGTCCCCATATACAAAGGTTGTGTGATCTCCAGTCAGGGCACACACAAGAATCAACCAATGAAGGCATAAATAAGTGGAACAACAAGCTGATGTTTCCTTTCTACTTCTCTCTCTCTCCTCTCTAAAAAAATCACTAACAATTAAAAAAACATTAGCCCTGGCCAGCGTGGCTCGGTTGGCTGGGCGTCATCCTGCAAACTGACAGATTGCGGGCTTGGTTCCTGGTCAGGACATGTGCCTAGGATGCGGGTTCAATTCCTGGTCCACGTGTGTACAGAAGGCAGCCAATTGATGTTTCTCTCTCATGTCAATGTTTCCCCCCCTCTCTTTCTCCCTCCTTTCCTCTCTCGTTGAAAAATAAATACAATATTTAACAATTTTAAAAATAAGGACATCCACTTTTGGGAGAGGCTGAAACTGCAGTTAGGTCAGATGTTAAATCTAGGGATGACATCATAGGATTTTAGCACAAGCAATGCCACGTTGGGTCTGTGGTTTCCTCTTTAACAATGTGGAAGAGTATATTCATAGATTATAAATTTATAATCTATAAATCCCAGCATTTATAGCCTAAACTCAACTTGGCCATAATGTAGTTAAAATAGATTTTGTGTTTTAGAAAAGTTTTAGATTTATGGGAAAGTTGTGAAGCTAGCGCCGAGTTCATGCACACCCTGCACCCAGTGCCCCATCACTAACATGCTATTGTCTGTGTGCTTCAGGGAAGCAACTTTCACTATGCATCCAACAAACAACCCTTGAGGCCAAGAATGAGGGCCCATGGAGAAGATGAGGTGAAACGAGGGAGGGTTCCCAGGCCTCCTGCCCCGCTGCTGTAGGCTCTGCCTTTCCAGGCCTGACCTTCAGCAGCCATGTTCAAGTTCCTGGGTGCCATGAGGACCCCAGGACTTTGGGTACATGGGGACACTTTTTCTGGACTGGTCGAGGCCTCAGAGAAACCAGAGGTCTGACTTGGACTCCTGGGAGCAGCCAGCACTCATTGCCTGGCCTGGGAAGCCTTGTGGTGTCAGGGGTCAAGTGTTACTCTTCCTCCAAGGTCATTCAAACCAATGGCATAGACCACCTTTCCTCTGAGCCCTAGGCCCAGCTCAGCCTGGATGCAGGAGGGGAAGTTCCTCCCTTTGAAGATGATGGGGTGTGCCCGTGTGGTCAGGGTATTGAGGGGCTTCTTGGTCGAAATATTAGCGAGATCCTGGGCTTAAATTTCCATGTGACCACCAGGCCAAACTTTGGGGTTTTCTCCCTAATGGGGTTGTGAGTTCGAAGAGGGGATGGGAGTCTAGGCCCTCGCCTACTGCAGTTAGGTCAGTCCCCCCAGGCTCCCTTTCAGAGAGGGTCCCCAAGGAGGATCTTGGTATGAGAGGCCATAAACTTAAGCACTGCAGAGAATTCTGGAGGCTGAAAGGCAGAGGGAAGGTCTTTTGGTTTTCAGATCTGGATGTGAATACCAGGTTAACCTGATGTGGGACCTTGGGCAAGAACTGCAGCACTCTGAGACTCAGTTTCCCTGAGTGATAAATGTCTCCTGCGCAGCAAGTTTAGGAAATTATTTAAGAGGGAGGTAGTAGGTAGTAGCGATTTCCCAGATGAGATTAATCACAGTCCGCGGAACTGGGACAAAGGCAAGTCCAAGGGCGGATCAAAAGGGCACCTGGGTCAGTTTCTACTCTGGGCTTCTGTGAGAACCGCACGCAGCAGCGTGGAGCACTCCGCCAGGGCCGCACACCTAGCAGCAGGGAACCTTTCCGGTAGCGAAGGGCGGGCACACCCTGCGCAGGGCGGGAACGACCGCGGGAAGGGGCGGGGTCTCGCCGGGCTGGGAGGAGCGCGGAGCAGCCCTGAGCGCGGCGCGAAGAGGGGAGGTAGGCCGGTGTGCGCGCGGGACGCGGGTGTCCCTCCCGCGGGCAGGGCACGGTGAGGGGACCTGCACAGCTGGCGAACTCAGGCGGCGCCGAGGACAGCCGGGCGAGCGCCGGGGCTTCGGCGGCGCCCGGCCGGAGGCGGGACAGGAAGGCACCGGTGGCGCAGCAGCCTCGGGCCGCGCGGGGAGGGGGTTCTGCCCACGGTCCCCCCTGGGTGTGCCCCCAGCCCCAGGCCCCTCCAGAGGACACGTTTGAGCACGTCCCTGCCGTTGTCGTCTCATCCCCTGCCATAGCCCCTCCCCCAGGCCTGGGACCCCCGCCCTGCTGCTCCGGCCCCGTTATTCCCAGTCCACCTCTCAACCCCACGTCGTGCTGACCCGAGCTCCCTGTCCTGCCCCTTTCCTCCATCGGTCCGTCTCCCCGGGCAGCGAGCGCCCCGGCCGAGACCCACGTAGTAGACACTCGTCAGCAAGTTCTCACTCCGGTCATCTTATCCCTCTGCCTAGCTCCACCCTAGGCCCTGTCCCCTCTGGCCCTTTGTCCCCGGTCCCAGCCCCGCGCTGACCGCAGGCTCAGCGCTCGCTCCCGAACCGCTGTGTCACCCCAACCCCCCAGCCCCTCCCCACCCCGGCAACGCGCCGCGACCCGGAATGCAGCCCGCAGGCAGGGCGGCCGTCAGGGAGGCGGTGGCCCGCGACTCGCTGGCCGCCGATCTGCGGTGCAGTCTGTTCACTTCGGCCCTGCAGAGCTACAAGCGGGACTCCGCGCTGCGGCCTTTTCCCGCATCCTATGCCCGCCATGACTGCAAGGACTTTGAGGCCCTGGTGAGTGTGTTTTCCTTCCCCGGAGCTGTCCACTGCTTCCCATGCCACGTGTCCTGTGGAACCCGTGTTAGTAACTATGCCTGCCCCCAACCTGGCCTTGGGAAAGGTTTCCCTGAGCTAAGAACACCTTCCACCACCACACACACACACACACACACATGCACACACGCACACACGCCCTAATGTCAAACTACCAAGGCACTTTGTGGCTGCTTCCTCTTGTTAATGACAAGTGACTTCCAAGAGTGAAGTGGGGAATTAAATAGCTACAGAAACCTCCACAAGATTTCCCAGTGTGGCCAGCAGCAGGGTGTTGATCTGAATCAGCTGACTCACCAAATAGGAAGTTAGCCAACCCTTTGCAAATACTCAAGACACCAAAAATAACCAAAGCCACCCCTATACCTTGATCTTCAAATGAGGTAATATATGGGCAGTGCTGTTATAAATTATAACATATAGTACACATGTGAGCTGTTATTTCTGCAATGATTCACAAAGCACTTAATTTCTTGCAGCGTTCACTTCAGGTTTAGCATTCCAGGTATCAGTTATCTTTGTAATCCAAATGTTTGGCATTACCTAGCAAAATATTATTTTCCAAAATCGATTTTATAAGAAATAGAAAATAGAAGTATTCTATAATCATTAAAGACATTGAATTAGTAATTTACTCAAAGAAAACTCTAGGTCTAGCTGGTTTCTTTGGTGAGTTCTAGTGATCACTGAGGGAATAACTTCAGCTGGACATAAATTCTTTCACAATATTGAAAAGTGGCTAGTATAACCTAAATTTGATAAGGAGGATATAAGAAAATTACAGGCTAATGCCACTCATGAATGTAAATGTGGAGGTCCTCTGTAAAATATTAGAACCCTGAATCAATGTATAAAAAGAGCAATTCCTCATTGACAGGTTGGGTTTATCCCAGAAATTCAAAATGAGTTCAACCTTTAAAAATCAATCAGTGTTATGAACCACATGAACAGATTAAAGGAGATGTTTAGAATGATCTCTAATGAGGTGGTCAGTGTTGATTTCCCTCCTTGGTTTCACTTCCAGGAGGTCAAAGGACAAAGGCCCAGTGGCCTGGCCCCCACCTGGTCCACTGCAGCCCAGGCTAGGGATGTGTGGAGGGTACCTCAGGCCTAGACCAGCATGCACAGGTGTTTCAGGGTACAGGGAGTGGGAGGTCAGAGAAAGACAAGCCAACGGACTTTCCCTACAACTTGTTCTGCAAATTCAGGTGTTCAGTTTTGTGAGTTTGTGGTATTGGGGCTTTGGGGACGACCCTACCTTTTTGTCAATAGATGTTAATGGAGCATTGCTGAGGGCCAGGTGCTGAGGATACGGAAAGACCCTTGGCAAGGTTAACAATGTACTCAGCTGTACTGTGGTGTAATACCTGTACAGGTGTACCACAGAGATATTGCAGGTTCGGTTCCAGAGTGCTGAAATAAAGTAGTTGTAATCTTTTTGCTGGTCAATTTGTAAAAGATGCAGTGCCTGTGAAGTGCAATAAAATGAAGTATGCCTGTATATACAACGGAGAAACCCAGAGCAGGGACCCCAGCCCTTGGCACTGAGCTGGGGTAAGGGGATACTAACCAGGGACATGCTAGGAGGAGCAGCAAGGTCGGGCAGACTCCAGGAGCTCACTGAGAAGAACAAGTCTGTATTCTAGTGTGGCTGTTATGGAGAGCAGGAAAAGGAGGCCAGCTGGAGCGTGCAGGGCTCGTCATGTCCTGCTGAGGTGTGTAGATTTTGTCGTTGGTCAGAGGGCAGCATTGGTGAGATCCAGGATGTACTTCTGAAAGACCCCCATGGTGGCAGGGTGAGAGAGGGATCTGTCCAGGAGAGACTGGAGTCGGAGGGACCGTATTCCTCAGAGATGGTGCCCCACTGTGCACTTCATTCATTTTTACCGTAAACATCCAAGCGGACTGGGATGATCCATGCCTCTCTTCCTGCCGAAGAATTAGGCAGGTGTGTTTGATATAGGGGATAAATGCAAAGGGAGCTTTGGAATGGTTTGATTTGTTTATGCTTTTAAAGAATTATTTTTAGTTATGCAAATAATGTTTGAATATATTTTTGTTATAAAAAATGCACATACCAACCGAGTAATGAAAGTGCCCTTGACAGAGCTCACACTACCCCACATCCCTCCCTGTAGGTGTCAGTGCTTCTCAGTTGGGGGCACACCGGTCCTCCTGTATCTAGAATTCCTCAGAGAGCAGCAGGTAGCCCCAAAGAGCCACCTCCTCTAAAGGGACAGCCTGTCGCCCTCATGGGGCTCATTGTGCTGGTTCTGTAGCACACCCTTTCTTTCAAGGGCCGCTGGAGAAACACAGATTCTTATCAGCCTGTTCTGTCGCCATACGAGGGAAACCAGCCCGGGCCATAGAGGTTCTGGGTTGTCTGTAGGCATGGCTCTAACGACAGCTACCCAGGAGAAGGCCACTCTCCAGGCACAATCTGGTACGACCTCTGGGAGCGTGCTCACGTGCTTAGAATGAGATAAACACACTTCAGGTGTCATTTTGACACAAGTTACATGAGTTACAGGAAAAAATGTGGAGACTTTGGCATCTGAGCCTGGATCTGATTCAGTGGTTAACTTTGAAAGAAAGGGGAATGGGGTCTGGATTTGTTCTTCTGCATCATTTTGTGGTTACCTGAAGAAGGCATGGAGCTGTTAAAAAAAAAGTCTCATTTGCATTTGTTTAGCTAAAAGCACTTGAGAGTAATATGTAACAGTTTATCATTTTCAGCCCTTTTAAATTAATTTTCTCCATACTGCAGGGTGTCATTATACACCTATAATACTTATGTTGCAGTTTCCAAAAATTAGAGCTCTGGCTTGAATTACTTTGTTGATTACTGCTTTCCTGAGAATGCCCCCTGCTGAAACAAACTCCTGGCATTAGGTGTGGCTCTGACCTGTTCTCTCACACTCCCCAAAGTCCCAAATCATCTCCCAGGTGCCTTGTTCTGAGGATATTTTTATTCCGAGTCAGCACTTAAATTTTACACTGGAAGGTCTTTGTATTCCCAGTGCCTGGCCTGGAAGGTGCTCTCAGGTATTCAGGGAACCAAACTGGGTATGTGTGATTGCCCAGACTGAGGGTTTCTGATCTTGTTCCTTGAGACAATGGTTGGCTAAGCCCTTATTAGGGCAGAGGATCTGCAGCATTCGGATGTCCTGTAGCTCTGACCTTAGACTTCAGGTTTGCTTTGCTTTCCCCCTAGGAAACCCATTCCCTGATTCTCCATTAGCCTGAGAACCTTTCTGGGGTGGGAGGTGGGTGGGAATGGTTTCTTTGTATTAATTCCAGGCCCTTGCCACTCAAGGTGGGGTTGAGGACCAGTAGCAGCAGCAGCATCTAGGAGCTTGTTAGAAACACAGGATGTCAGGTTTCCCCGCCCCATCCCCAGACCTACCTAATCAGGATCTGCACTTTTACAAAAAAGATTTTTTATTTTTAATTTTTGTAGAGAGAGGGGAAGGGGGGAAGAAAGAGGGAGAGACACATCAGTCTGTGAGAGAAACATTGATCAATTGGATGGGCTGCATCTCTCAGGCCCCTGACTGGGGGACCTGGACCACAGCCCAGGCCTGTGCCCTGAGCGGGATGGAGCCACACCAGCCAGGGTGATTGGGACTTTTTAGTTTACTAGCAGAAAATATGTAGTTTAAAAATTTTCCTATTAATTGAGGAATTGATAACCATGAGAATCAGTCCAGTCAGTAAGTGTCCATTTAGGTACATACCTGATAGCTCAAGTTGAAGTTCTCAGTCTTGCAGACTGCCTTTTATTTCCCTGCCCTCAGAGACGGTACCTGGGCTCAGGTGGGGTGTGCAGATATGGAAAGATGTGGACTCGGACCTCGATACGAGGGGCTGTGACTGGCGGTGGGCGTGTGGCTGGGAGGATTCCTTGGCCAGTGGGGTGGTGATGCGGTGGATCCAGGGGTGGGATCCATCTTTCGGGTGGAAACCACCTCCTCCCTTCCCACCCACCCCAGAAATGCAGGCCTTCCCTCGGCAAATTGGAGAGCAGTAAAAAGGGATGTTTGATTAATAGTAATAGTATAGTACCTGGCACTTGTAAGATACTAAAAGCCCCTACTACTTACTGGGCACTGCTCTGAGCCATTTCTATGTGGAACTCATTTAATCTCGTTAGATTCTCTGTCACCGTCAGCTAAGTGGGTGTGTGTTGGTGGCGGACCACCCTCGAGCTGCCAGGTGTTGCTGGCGTGAAGCCAGGGTGGAGGACCACTCCACTAAAGGGCCTCGTGATGACTCCTTTCATGAAGAGTGCTCGAGGAAAGTAGACTCTCACCCCCAGTCTGTTTCAGTGATTCTCACGCACAACTTAGGTTTGTGCAAAGCCAGGCACACCTGGATGTAACTGCAGTGTTTACCTTTCCAGCCTCCTTTTGGCAGCTTGCCAGCTCCACCCACCTCTCCCACCCCCTGTTGTAGGTGTCACTTTGGTCCTGAGGCTGGTGACCTTGGCTGTACCTTTGGTTCATTTCCTTCCAGCAACTCCACCCACATCTAGTCATTACCACCTCTGGCATCTTTCTAGATAAGGATTTTTTTTTCAGATGTTCTGTCTTCCCTGTTGCCAGTCCTTCTAGGACAACGTTGCTTAATGTCTAAACCTCCGTGTACCCACATTCTCCTGGAGACAGGAAGCACCTGGGGCAACTTCTGTAAGCAGATTCCTGGACCGCCTCCCCAGGAGAATGTGGCCGCTGAGTGTCCACTGGGCTGTCTGCCGCCCGACCCAAAGCAGGGAGGTTGTGTCCTTCCAGCGCCATTAGTCCTCTCTCTTCTCTGCTCTTCCCTGCTGGTTCCTGCCCTTGGCCTCTCAGTCACCCAGTGGTCAGTCGCCCAGGCCACCTCACTTTTGAGAGGCTTCCTTTCTCCAGCCTCACGGCTGCCTGGCACCTCCCACCATTCAGGCCTTGTCCCGGCTCCCTGAG